TTCCTTCCTTCCCCCTCTCTCTTCCTTCCTTCCCCCTCTCTCTTCCTTCCTTCCCCCTCTCTCCCTTTTGCCCTCTCTCTTTCTCCCGTGTCTCTTTTCCCCTTCTTGCTTTTTCTCCTCCTTTTTTATGCTTTCTCCCTTTCCCCTCTCTTATTCTTTTTCGTTTTTCTCCTCTTATTCCCTTTCTTTTTTCCCCCTCTCTCCCCTTTTCCTTTCTTCTCCCCATCTCTTTCCCCCTCTTTTGCTTTCTCTCTCTTTTTTCATTTTCTCTTTTCCCTCTCTGTCTTTTCCTCTACCTTTTCACTCTCCGTTTTCCTTTTGTCTTTTTTAAATTTCATTTTTTCCTCTCTCGTTTTAGCCACTCTTTCCCCCTTCTCTCTCTTTTCACCTCTCTTCCCTCTCTATATTTTTCCTCCCTCTTTCTTTTCCTTCTCTCCATCTTTCTCTCTTTCCCTCCCACTTCTCTCCATTGTGCGCTGCTGATTCCTCCTGGTCTCATCAACTTTGCCTCGCGCCACACGGCAATGCCCAGCAACAATGGAATTCATTTAGAAAATGCATACTTTTTCCGCATACATGTGCATACATGTTTTGTTAGTTTTTAGAAAAATGCATGCATAATAATCTTTGGGCATTTTTTAAATGAATATTGCATATTTCGACTTTTGACGAAACTGACCTCAGTCAGTTTAACTACTTCTAAACAAGTAATGACTGTCAGAATCTAGTTTTTGTAATGCTCTTGGATAAATCTAGTTTTCATAAGTAAATATTAGTTTTCATGGAAAGGCTTTGTTGAAATTAATTTTTACAGGGTAATACTCAGTCTGATTTCAGGTTTTGGCAATGGTGTAATAAGAGAAATGTTTTCGGTAGGTGTAAGACTTGAAATTTTATACTTTATTCCTGTATTTTGCTTTTCTTGGACTTTACAGACGCTTGAAGGTTGCTCAGTTTGATTACAGTAAGTTGTGTTCAGATATTGCATCTATGACTGAAGGAATGTCTGGTCGAGAGATTGCTAAGTTGGGAGTGGCTTGGCAGGCAGCTGCATATGCTTCAGAAGATGGAGTTTTGACTGAAAAAATGATCAGAGACAGGGTAGAAGATGCAGTGGAACAGCACAAACAGAAGGTATTCTCTTCTTTGTAAGGGTTTTCTAGTTCTAGAATGTACTAAGGGGACATACGTCTACCCTGATGACATGGGAACCTTCATTATTATTTAAAAAATGGGTTGGAAAAAAATTTGGGAAGCATGAAAAGTCACCACTGCTAAGAATATCAATAGAAATCCTTATTTGCATGAAACAATAGTCTTCAAATATTTTTAATTTTGATAGTGTCTTTTAATTGGTATGGGACATTTAACATGTATTCTTTCTCTCCTATTGTTATGTTTTGGATAAACAGGAGAGGGGGGAAAAGATAGATTCATAAAATAGATTGTTTCATTTTGGAGCATTATGGAGTTAATAATATTGAATTGACATTTGGGATTTTGAGGCTAAACAATTTCACATTAGCGAAAACTGCTGCCCTAAATTAGGAAATGTGTCTTTTGTCTTGAATGCATTTATTTTGTTGTTTTCTTTTTTGTTTCTGTCAACGTGTTTTATAAAATAATAAGCAAATGTTTATTTTATGAAAGTGATGTAATATATGTTCCTTACAGTTGACAGTGGCATAATACTTATTATATATCTTTAAGATTTGTGTTAACCCTTATTTTTTTATAGTAATATTATGTGTTCTTTCAGGTTCTCTGGCAAAGTGAGCAGGAACGAAGAGAATCAAAAGCATCACCATATGCATCAAAATATGTTGATTACATTCCTCCAGCTGCTGTGTCCAGTGTATCTGCATCAAAAACAGGCAGTGTTTCTGATCCTCTTGCCCCTACTACTTTTCCTTCTACATCTTATCCTTTGCCCAGTTCTAGTCAGGATGAAAAGCAAGAAACGAAACCTGTTAAAGATAAAGATAGTTAAGGTTTAACATCATGTTTAGTAGATATTATACTATTGACTGGTTTCTGTCCAGTCTATGGTCCTAGCTCTTTGTACATAGCAAATGTTCATAGTGTATTATGGGCTACAATATTTTTCAATAATAATTTGGAAGTATCATGGTTTAAAATTCTTTCATTAAACATTTGCAGAAAAAACTGTACAAATATTCTTGCACCTTGAAATCGGGAGATGTTATATTGTTAGTACCCATTTCCAGGTGCACTATTTGTGTTTGTTATTCTATTCTTGAAACTATTTAATGTAGGAAGGCCATTACATAATTGAGATATAAATTACAAAATGAAACTAAGCACAGTTCAGGAGACAGAGGAGTTTCAAACACAAAGTAACAAAATTAATTTTGATGTATAGTGAATTTATTTCAAAAGACATTCCTTGGGTTTATTGGTAAATAATTGTGCTTCATTTTTGATAAATCATTGATCAGTGTTATTAAATGACTTTCCATGAAGTTTACTTCCTCCAAGTTTCTCGAGTCGTTTGAGTTGTATATTCTTTGCTATTACGTCTGAAGCAGTATGTGCTTGTTTATATAACTGGTGAATGAATGTGCTTCAGTAAGTGACTTTAACAATTTTATATATGTTGTTTTAAAATTCATTGTTGTGCAGTTGTAATAGTCACTTATCTGATGAATGTCAAACTGACCCTCAGCCAGTCAGCTTCTGTAACTGATTAGATGTATACTTTTGTATGAATATATAATAGAAATTAATTTTGTAAAGAACCATGGTAATCACTCTGGTACTTTTTTATCATTAGCATGCTGCCAATAGCAAGCAGTGGGAATTCACTTTATTAGTGAATCAGAACTTTCGACTTCCCTCAAATATTTTCCAAACCAATTATTGTGCCGTACTTTTGTCGCTGCCTTGCCTTTTTTGTCTGTTTACTATTTATATAGAATAAATTCATGTATTTATAATACTGAACTGAATAATTTTTGCATTTATAATAATGGAACTTTCAAATGAATTAAAAGAAGAAAAATTAGTAGTTTTCAAATTGTTGTCAAAAAAGACAGGAAATAATTACATGACGTGGAGTGAGTAATTCTTTCCATCTACCGTTCTATATTAGTAATGATTGTAAATTAATGAGAGTGATGATTCTTTATTTTAATGATTATTACCTGAAATACATTCATCTGACATTTGATTTTCCCAAAATTCTTTAACAAGGTAGTTGTGTATTGATTAAGTACTATGGTAGACGTATTAAGTTTTTTAAAAACTGAAACAAACATTGAAATTTTTCAAGTTAGTATTTTACTGTAATCATTTTTTCTTCATTGAGCTTAGAAAATTCAAAATTGAAAAAATTAATTTATTCTTGCATGCAGTTGAATTTTCTTGTTGTAAAGTTTTTAAATTTGTGAATTTTGAGAGGTAGATTAATGTTCGTGAGGGCATTGATTTATTGTGCCATGCATTGATAGTAATTACACATCACATACTTCTTACTTAGTTACTTCTCTCCCTCCAATATTTTTGTTAATATATTTACATAATAAATTTCAGGATCAATTATAAGTAAAAGCAATAAAGCAAAACCACTTACCCCAAAAAACACAAGCCTTCTTTTTTGTTCAATTTTAGTAACTATTTTATGTTGTTTGTTGTTGTTTTTTTTTCTAGTAACATAAGTATTTTGAAAAAACAGAACATTTATATTACATTATTATAAATATATACGACATTGCATATTGTATATATACTACTAATCCTATTCAGTGATTTACCTCATTTCGTGATAAGATGTGTATGACAGTGGATTCTTTTTGAAAATCAATGACTTTGTGATATGAGACATGTTATCTTAACATTTGATTGAAATTGGACATACTTTATTTTTACGAGGCAGGAAAGTTTTCCTACCTTACCTGTACTCGTTTAATCAATTTTTTTCAACCCCTGCATATTACTACAGCTGTTTTTGAGGTTAATTACCTCATGAGAATTTATCTCAGGGATATTTTTCAATGTCTCTTGGTATGTGTTCTTCTTGTTATGCAGCTCAAATGTGAAGTGAATGATAAAGCATGATACAGTAAAAATAAAATAGAATATTGTGTAGTGAAAATAGCAATTGTGTTCTCATTTTATTTGACCTGCCCATTGTAGTTTTGTTTCAATTATTTTTATTTATATGTGAAAGTTAAAGTTTTCATATAGAAGCACAAAGATTGAGGGGTTATTTAATATGATAATATATGCAGTTTTTTCTAAATTTATCTTGACATTACGAAACTCATTGTTCTTTGTGTGTGTTCCGAGGACAGCCAAGCCCACCCCCACCCCACCCCAAGGGAACATTCGAGATGCGTGCCTGTCTGTACCCTCTGTTTACATGCTGATTGCACGAACCTACTTCCATTCTCACATCTCACCCCCTCGACCATAAACTAACATAGATGGGTCACTGATATAGGGTAGCGTGGATGAGCGAACGAGGCCCATGCTCACGAGGAGCGCTATAAGTGAATGAATTATACACTCCGTGTGAAAGATACGAAGTAAGTAATATTGCAAGGAGGCATGATTACAGATTGTTAGCTAGCAAGCCGGAGCAAGCATTCACACATATTGTGCTCACCTGGTATTTTTGTTTAAAGGCCCCTCATAGGTATTTTTGGTTCTTGTGCTGCATTTACATATTCAAAATATGGCTAATATTTTTCAAAAGATATATGTGCCTTATTGGATGGTCTTTATATAATTGGTAAGAGACCTCGCTTTCTTCAAAGCATTGTAATGTGTTTGCTCATATTTCAAAAGCAAAAATTTAGCAAAAAAATGAAAATCGTCAAGTAACAGGTAAATTTGAACATTTTAAGTCCTTTTTTAAAATGTCATGAATTTTTTGTTGAAATAAAATTCTTTACACCTGTGTGAGAGGAATTATGGAAGTACTAATGCTATCAATTCGCAGAGTGTGTTTCAAGTTTATCATTAGATATTTATGAAAATGTGTTGCTCTTTGTTCATGGATTGGGCAATTCTGTTAAATGATTGAAATAAAATTACTTTTGAATTTTATTGAATAAGTTTCATTTCAAACTCAAAAATTCCATCCACTCTATGTATAAGATGAAAAAATTATTTTCTGCATTTTAATTTTTTAGTGTTTTTATGCATACAATTTTCACAATTAAAAATTATGCCATATGATTTCTACTGAAGTTAACATAGTATGTCAATTTTTTGGAAAAAATATCAAAATATTAAAAGTAACTTCTATGGTCATTGGTTCTACGAGTTAAAAAAAAAACATTTGAATAATATTTGGAAAAACAAAAAATAGAGCAATATGACTTTTATGTAACAGAGCATTTTGGACTATCCCTGCCAAAAGTTAAATCTCTTATCTTTTATTTTGTAATTGTAGGAAGACGCCGAGAATTTCATACTTTTGAAATTTTCGAGAATTCAGAGTTAACCCTGAAAATTGGATCTATCCCACCATTATAAGTGTCTATTACTCTATTCTTACAAGAAATTTAAAGAAAAAAATTGTAGATTTTTGAGAAAATTTTGAATATGTCCCAAGAGCTTCATGCAAAATACTCCCAAAAATTAATGAATGTTTTTCAAAATCGCAGAGCTCCGACTCACGCCAGATCGACAGGGG